AAGCCAGGAAGGATGAAGCAACTGTTGACTTAGAGTTAAAAGAGGGAGCAATAAGAGGGACAAGTAGGGAAGAGAGAGATAGGCATAAACAGAAGGAAAGGGAAATAGGGTGACTGGCAGGTGATGACGGACATGCAGTGAATGCAATAACCATCTTGTGTTTCTGTCAGTATTTATGACAGCTGGCTGGAGGAAGACAGTTTGAGTCCTCAGCAGCAAAACACTTTCACAATCCAGAGTATTTTAACAGGTTTCTTTCCTCTCCAATGTCCCGTGAGACTCACCTCCAGCAGCAGTAGAGTCTCCTGCTCAGTCCATTCCCTGGTGGAGCTGACTGCTTTACCCTATAGGGAAACAAAACCAATCACATTAAGAAATTTAAGACAATAGGACAAATTTATTAGAGTATGGTTTCCACTTTTGCTGGTAGCTTTCAATATAAAGTGAAAAAAAGAAAATATTATTTCTCATTTTAAATGTCTATTACTGTTGACCCTTTCAGAATAAAATCTAATTTGGAAAACATTACAGGTTGTTCAGTGAGTTGTGTGCTGACCTTGGGGTTTTTCTTGTTGTAGAGGTCGGTGCGAATGCCGAAGTTCTGCAAGTCGATCTTGTCTTTGCATTTGTCAGCGAAGTTGGGCATTTGCTGTTGAGGGGGAATCTAGAAGGATGAAACAACACATGTTCAATAATGTTAGCAGGAACTTAAACAAGTACTATGCAAAGACATTCACTCTATCAGTCTGTGTGTTTTGCAAATGAAGCCTACTATGTAAACAGTAGTAGTATGGTGGAATCTTGAGAGAACAAGATGCAGCTTTCAATTTTGTTTCTCATTTCCCTTTCTCAATTTTACCAACTCCCTACATGCATCCATCACTCGCTCAGTCTTACCGGTGGGGGTCTGTGGTTCAGTGGCATGAGGCCAGATGGTGTGTCAGCCAGCACGGTGAAGTGCGGTGTGGGTGGGGGGCCCATGGGCAATGGGCGGCTATCAGCGTCGACCTGGTAGTTCACCAAACCCCACTGCTCCAAGAACGCATGAACCCTAGAGACAGACAGCAATGACATTTAATAGGCTTTTATTTTCTTATCTTTGCAGCATTTTTCTGATTCATTTCAAATGGATTCATTTTAAAAAGTAAAAGTTTGTAGTCTGTAGTCACATTTCTGATTATATGTGCAGTTTTCCCACTATTGGATTTACCAGTAACTGTCAGTTATCTAGTGTTTATCTGTGCCACACTCTGTTTTAGGGATAATAAGCAACAGATAACAGAGCCATCCAAGCTATGGGCTGGGTTATACTTGTTGAGTACCAGTTTGTAAGATGTGCTGTCTGAACATGTGGGAAATCAAGTGTTCACAGATGTTCCGAACGGCCACAGGTGGAGTGAAAAGCCAGTTGTCACAAAGGGGAGGGAGGGACGTGATATTGTTTAAATACAGCACATATTTTCAGACATTTTTCTCTCCTGGAAGACATTCATAGTTTTGCACTCACTTGCTCACATGAAAAGTGAAAGAAATGGTTCTATCGAGAATAAAAAAGGAAAGTGAGAGAGAAGTTCACACCCTGGCTCTTTTCTCACCTCTGCACCAGCGGCCAACCACAGCGTGAAGTGGGTGTCAATGTTGGATGGTCAGTTTTGGAAAGTTACATAAGACATTCAACCATCTAACAAGAGCTTCTGATGGGGTATAACAGGCCCCCTAAAGAATGTGTAAACTCTGGCATGGCTTCTGGGACACTGACTAAAATTACATTTCCATTGGATCCAAAACTTTGTTTATTAGGGAATGTTACACTCCATTAGCACACTGGGGAACGCTAAGTGTATAGTAATGACATGGAAATCAGGTTCCTGTCTCCTCATTGCTGAATGAACAATTGAATTCCAATTAAAAAAAGATTACATACACTGCCAGAAAGAGAAAACACATCTGTAAAGATTTGGCAGCCTTGTTTAGCAATGTTGGACACATTTCAGTTTGCATGTAGGTGGAACAGAGAGGGAATTTGGAGCTGTGTATGCACTTTAGACAATTGTTTTATTTTTTTTAAACTGCATGCACTAAAGGGATTGGCTTACCTCATGATGGCACAGACATCCCCGGTCAGGTTCCTGCGACAGGAGGTAGAGGTGAGGTACTCCTGAGGGTTTAGCCGATACGTGTCGATCATGAAATTACGGTAGGCCAGGTATCTGTTAAAGAGTCGAGAAGAACCACAAAAGAGATTAGCATACCAGGAAACATATCCCTTTGGGTCTGCAGAAACATATCGTACAATAATCACATGACATGGCGGCGGTTTAATGGAATTTGTAAGTGTGCGTGTGTGTGTGTGTAAGCTCACATCTCTGGAGTTTTGGACTTGTTCTTGCCGTTGAAGAACTCAGGCAGGGCTCTTCTCTCAATCTCATGGATACTAGCAGGAAAGAAAGTGTCTCTGTTTTAGCATCAGTTCATTAAATTATGGAAAAATGACTGTAGCTCCTTGTTATCTGCTAAATTACAACCCACTTAACTTAAAAAGGTTTAACTATCTCAAACCTCATATTTCAAATCATATTTAACTACAATACTAGTGACAGTGACCTGCGAGTTTTGAATCTCAACTGTACCTTTCACTGTAAGATGCCATTCTTGATTTAAATTTTTTACAAAAAGGTTCTAGCCTCGGCTTTATAGCACACAGTATTTATGACAGAGACTTTAAATTCTCAATAAATCACAGGAAAACAAAAAGCAACATCTAATAAACAAGAAGAACACTAATTATGCCGTAGTAATGTGTTAATCCTCATTTCCCGGCACGTACCAGTTGTAGTCAAACCAAGCGCCGTAGCTGGGGATGATGATGTGGTGAGTCTGCTCGGTGACATTGTCCTCACCAGAATCTATCAGTCGGTTGATTTCAGCCTTGCTCTGTTCCTCGTCATCCTGCAGAAGGACAGAAAGAGTCACAAAGGTCAGTGTGATGATGACGGACACGAACAGTATTGGGAGGCACCAAGTAAAGCCAATAAACAACTTCCTAAAAGTTTCTCAACATCAACAATGTGTTTGCCTGGAAGGACAAAAGCTGATCTTGCAGTAATATTTGGATTTTTTTTTACATTGTATTATGCAGGCCTAGGGTGTTGAAGATTAAGGTGTTTGAGGAAAGACCAAGAGAAACTAAAGGAGGAGGATTTGTTAATAAACGAAAAGGACAAAAAAATAAATGGGCAGCCATTGAGCATGAGCCTATGAGCAAGCAATCATTTTTTAAAACCAATAAGACACTCACAAAGGGGTCTGAAGTGCATATTCCAAGAGAAATCCTCAGGCAAATAAACAAAATGAAAAAGATGTCTCTCTTTCTAGATTATATATATATATTTTTTACAATATAAAATAAAACTATTATTTAGATATTTTGGGATACACTTTGTGAGATTACTGATTGTTTTTGTTATTCTTTTGATCCTTCCAGCACAATAATATATTGTATTTTGAACATTATTGTAATAAATGTTGTCTTTATCAGTCAAATACATCTTTTGTTAGTTAAAATCCAGTGTGTGGAAACTCTAATTCTTACCTTTCCACCAGACAGCACAGAGTCATCCTCCATGTCATCTGGACAAAATAAAGCAGATTTGAGTTGAAATACAACACACTGGCGGACACTTGTATTTGTATATTGTATTATTCTTCTAAATTGATTATTGTAATTCAGACACAGCTTAACAGATTCATTCAGGTACCTACCCAAGTCTGCCACATTTCCTCCTTTCATTGGAGTATTTTCACTGTCTTTCTTTGAATTTGCTGTGTATGGAAGAAAAGAGAAAAAACGAAAAAAGTGAAAAGCTAAAAGAGGGGGGGGGATCAAAGACTTTAATTCAGCCGTGGGCATGGAGGCATTAACCAGACTCTGGTTTGCGAAAGAGGACACTAAAATAGAAATGGAGTGCGAAGGAGATTGTGTATATTGGGGGATTTTTGTAAAAGTGGGACATCCCAGATGGGACTCGGTCTAAAAAGAGCATTTTAGTAAGGACTGTGTGTTTGGTTTTAAAGGGAATCTTTAAGGGGAATACAAATCCAGCCTTCCTCGTCTCTGGTTGTTAACACATCCTCAGGTGGTTTTCCTAAAATGGATCTCATCTAATGTGCAGTTATGTACCTGGCAAAATGACTTTATTCTGAGGACTGCCTGTTTTCTGCACTTTTGATTGTATTTCTCAACTTTCTTTTACATTTTCTAGATACAATTTATTGAAAACATTATGAAGTTATTAGTAACCATTAACCACCAGCAACCACAACATCACATCTGATCAAATTCAGACTGCTGCCTCAAACTGATTATTTAGAACGTTCAAAATAAATAAATAAACAAACAAACAAACAAGAGCGTCCAGCTTAGCCCCACCCTCGGCACATACCATTCTTGGACATGCTGCCCTCCTCCATGCTGGCACCAGCTGAGGAGTCGTCCATGTCCTTGTTCATGTCCTCCTCTGTGTCCTCCTCTTCGCCTCTGTGGCCCCGTCGCTTCCAGTGAGGCCCCGGGTTCCTGACACAAAGGACAACCACAAGTCAGTTAAATGCCACCTAAAACATCAAAATATCCACAAGATCAAGCATATACAGCAATTTCAGACCGCTTCCCCAAACAATGTCTTCTGTTTGCAGAGCATTAAGTCATCAGCAGGTACGACTGAAAGTCAGTGTGTGCTTGGAATATACACATTATATGTGTCATTTATTTTCTGTGGTGACGTTCTAATGCATAAGTGTGGTGATATTCAACATTTTTTGTCCCATAAAAATCTCAAAACCAACAATAAAAATCCCAAAACTATTTAAAAAAAAACACATAAACGAGTCACATCAATGCTTTGAGTAACATGTTTCTTCTTTACCATGAACATGGCAACTGTATTATTTCAGTCAATCCCACTAACGCTGTCCTGCTCCCGTAAATCGAGCACCATATTAATCCACTACTTAAAATAGTTCACACCAAATGCACCATTTACTTCACTTTGACTAACATTTGCTAAGAACTAAAGTACAGTGTATACTCATGCCCTTGTTCTGTAAGACCAATGTGTCACCCACCGGGTAGGACAAGTAACAAGTAACAATTAACACATTTTTGGTTTTGGTCTTTAAAGGGATTTGTTGACAATAGGAAAAATATAAAACAACAAGCAGCGCCATTTCCAAGCCCACCTGCACAACTCGGCAACATTTTTTCAATCTCTTTTTTTTTTTAATGTATTTGCTGTACCACTGGCTAGAAAAAGAAATATTAAAAAGAATTCTTACCCCTTCTTTCCTCCCTTCTTGCGGGATTCAGCAGGAGTACTGGGTGGCGAGGGCGAGCGCCTCCTCTTCTTGCCAGCAGAGTTGGCCTTGCGCTCCTTGCGATCGGGGGTACGGGAAGACTGATCAGACAAACCCCGTGCAGCGCAGGGAGCGAGGGATGGAGGATGAGAGAAAGAGCAGCAGAATGAGAGGATGGAACGGTTGCACACACAAGGAGGGGAAGCGGTGGGAGAAGGACTGCGGGGAGGGGGGAGGATGCCGTGGTGGTGGAGGAGACGACCAGGGTTCCTGTATACTGTCCTTGCTCAAAATAGCTTCTCTTTGACCCGAACCTTCACTTCTTGATTTGAGCACTGCGGTGAAAGATTTATCAGCCAGAAATTATCTGTGGCAGACAAATCACCACCTCACCTTTTGTTGTTTCATTCTCTTTGTTTACATACAATCCTTTTGGTTGGGTTTTTTTGGCCAATGTGCCCTCTGAGAACCAAATTAAGTAAAACAACACCTCTCAGTCAAACAGGTTGCTGATTAGCTCTTAGTCTCCTAGTCTTAGGTGGCTGTGGTGAACCATCTGCATGATCAGTCTGTGAACAGGCCAAGACAAAAATATATGGTGTAATAGAGGGATTCAACTAAATGTCCACCCCCTTATTGAATCATTTGCATGGCATCTAGACTCACTCATGAGTAAAATGTTTTGGCCTGTGAAATAAGTAATTTGTGACAGTGAACCTATTTTAGAAAGTGTTTAAAATAACTTTCCAAACACGGACAGAAACCCTGAAATACATTAAAAAGGAGACAAAGAGTGAGGAAAGGTTTGGAAAGGATGCGCAACAAACAGACAGAAGCCAGATAGACGAAGAAGGACGACAACGCACAAACCACAGGCACATGCAACAAAACAAACTGGCAGCAGAAACATACACTTAAAACACAAACCAGCATTCAGCCATATCAGTATTTCACCAGTTACAGTTTACCAATGTGAACATTCAGCGTCTTTTGTTGGTGAGTTAGAGAATGCTGACATTTAACATCAACAGCAGTGGCTTCTAGCTCTGCTGATGATCTATAGAACCTTTCAGACCCAGGACCGTCTGGGAATGAAAATCTTTGGGACTGAAACACACGCAGCACAAATATCTACCTCCTCCTCCTTGGGGAAGATCCTCTGGCGGAAGCTAACCGGCTTCTTGTTCTCATCCACCTCGTAGTCTTCTTCGTTCATCCACTCATTGAAGGCATCAGTGTCTAAAACCCACTTGGCGTGGACCTGAGGGGGAGAGGGAAGGAGACAGAGTTGAGGCAAGCTGTTCACCTCGATTGAGTCTCAGTGGGCTGGTCTGTCCTACTACAATCTAATCATCCCTTTTAAACCGCTGCCCTCATTTTCCTCCGCCATTTCCCAATAGAACGGACTCACTGTTGCATGTTAAAACCAGAATATGAGTGGGTACAACACCCTAAGAGTCCAACATGAACTGTACTTTTTATGGTTCTTTTTGAAATGTCATGTAGCAGCATGACTGACTGCAACCACGTTGAATACGTTTCATCAGTAGCCACAACCAGGGCTCCTTGAATGCTTCTCTCCCAAAACTACATGAATAAATAAAACGGATGGCCTCACTTGACACTGGAGGCTTTTTTCCATTTTGAATTAGATGCTGAACAGTTCCTTCTCTGCGTGTACTCGTTGCTCACCTTCCATGGTCTGTCAGAGCTGGGTGGGTCCTCCACATCCCCGTCCACCTCGCTGGCTGATACCCATGTATCATAGCTAACAGAACATAAAACAGCATCGGGTCAGTGACAATTACAACATCAATGAGATGACATGCAGAAGGATAATTTATATAAAAAAATGCGTTGAATGGTTAAAAAAAAACCAATTCACACAATTATTGTACAGCGCTGACTAACAGAACCTCATTATAGCCTTGATGTTAGTTTCTTACAGAGATTCTGATTTAGTTTACTTGTACGTTTGAGTGAAATGTACATATATGATTTATTTGTTGCTGTTTTATAAAAAAAAATGGAATTAACAGAAATCTGTGAGTGTTAAAAGGTTGTGTTTGTGAACCTCCTCTCTGCTCACCTGTCCGGGGAGAGACCCCAGTGCACCAGCACCTGCTTGTCTTTCCTCATGACAGGACGAAGCCACTCATCTATAAACACACACAAAGCAGACATGGACAGATCACACATTAACCAACAGAATATGCAAAATACTGAGCATTACATACACATATTTACTATTATAACGGCATAACCTTGATAAAATAACTAAGAGATTGATTATTATTATTTTTAATAAGAGTATACTATGCAGGATTTGTCTGTTACCATTTGTAAACACACCATTCAAAGTTGGCCCCATGTTATACGTTGTTGGTGTTGTTTTGAGGGAAATTCTGGATAGTATACGTTTAAAAACAGACCATAACTGTAAAGAAACAGTTGTACCCTACCTTCTTCTTGCTGGGATGGAGATGGGTATATGTGGTGGGTGGCCTTTGACTTATCGTCAGTGATGGAGCCCTGCAGAGGACAAATACAAACAGAGTTGATTAGTAATTAGTAAGAACCCTCCTCTACTTCACTGACATTTATTTTGAATTGGCTAGTTTCCATAGTACGTCTGGGCTCACCTGGTGTCTTTTGATGATGTCTTTGAGCTTACTGGCTTGTTTCTGCTCGATGTCCGGCGACAGGAAGACAGTGGGTCGAGTCAAGCAGTTATTCTAGAAGTCCAGAAGCATTACGTTAGAATCAGGATAGTTTCACACGTCTATCCATGATGTTTGGTTTGGTTAAAATACACAGAAGTGACAAAAAACATTAATACTGGAGTTTATTCAAATGAACAGACTGCAGCAGATATCCTAACTGGGAACACTGAGCTGTTAATCAATAGCGAGTATACGAGTCTGACCTGGACCAAGTTCTTCTCCACATTTAAGAACATTTCCACGTTCCTGTCCATCCGGGAAGGATTCTGCAGGTCAAATCTGCGCCTGGGAGGAAGAACAGCAACAGAAACAATGAGCTGTAGTTGCAGCCAAACGTCTAAATAATGCAGCAACTGCTTACGATGAAACAAACACTGCTGCAGTGAAAAGTGTGAAAGCAAGAATGCGGGGCTTCCTGACCGTGACAAAGTCGAGACCGTGTGTGGCTTAACGTTTGGGTCAACACCGGTCTTTCTATGGAAGTTAGTGAACTCACCACCCCTGCTCGCTCTTAAACTTGTAGACCGACCCCAAGATGTGACAGAGAGCACCCGCTGCCTTGAAATCCAGGAAACACTTGGCCTGAATATAGGACGACACAGAGGACGTGGTGTTTTAGCACTCCGCGCACGTTTTAACAGAAAAACGAAACATGTTGTTGTTGTGCTTACAGGCAGCTTGGTAAGAGCAGGATTGTTGACCCTGCGTCCAAATGCGTCCTCCTGGAACTGCAGCAACTGGACCACCAGACCTGCCAAGGATTTACTGGAGGGGGAGTCATTCTGGACGTACTGGGAGCAGACAGATACAAAAAAAACATTTGTTAATACACAGAGAGAGAGAGAGAGAGAGAGCTGCACACAACACAGTATCCCAGTTCAACATTTCACTGCATGAACATGTTACTGTTTTGATTAGTCCATTAACTAACTGGTCAAAAGAAGGTCAAAGGTGAGGGTCAATAACAGGAGCTGGTCAGAGAGTCAGGGTCTCCCTTGAGGACATTTCAAAAAAGGATTATAATTGCAGTTGTGTGTCCTTCCATCTACCAGATGTCAGGCATTCACAGCCCGTCTTTTCCTGGCCACAGACAGAGCTACGCCGTCTGCCAACGGAAAAATAGGACAAACTAAAAAAAGGGGAAACACTCACACAAGACCTGGTCTATTTATATATCGAGGACAATGTCAAGGAGACCCACTTCGGGCCCAACACAGCAACATGGGGCTGTTTGAGGTACAGCGACTGAACGTAAACAAACTGGAGCCAAAGATCCGGGTCAGGAGCCAGACTTTACAGGTTTGGTTTCAGGTGTTTAAAAACGTGGTTTAGTATCCAAAAGCTACATCCACAAACACTCATCTGGGGTTTATTTTATTTAATCATTGCATATAGCTTTAACATAACCGGCTGAAGGGGGAATCAGGGTTTGGATGGAGGCACGAAGAGACAGGAGGACCACTCTTTGTGTGGATAACTTAGTGGGCGAGAGGAGCCTCACTAAACTGTGTGCATGCAAAATACACACAGTGATCCGACGATTATCCTTCTAGCAGAATATGATTTTAAACGGGAATAAAAAAAATGTGTCTATATTGCTAAAACAGTAAAGTTAGGTAAGGTATCCCGTGACTAACTAACGCTTAGCTTCTCGGGCCTGATAACTTCATTTTACCGGGTGTTTTTTTTTATGAATTAATAAAAAAACTGCAAACACGAGTTGAAGTAGTAACCTAACTAACTTACAACCTTCATCTGCCTCTCATTTGTAAACATTTCACCCCCCCACCACCACCACCACCCCCCCACCCAGAGCGTGTTATCAGCAGCTAACAGTGAGCTACAGAGCTAACCAGCCAGTTAAAAACCAGCTTCCCCTCCAAAAAAAACAGCTTCTTCAACAACACATAAACACGAATAAACAGCCACCAGCTGCGTATCACGAAGCAGCCGCCTTTAAAACCACCGTAACTTCAGCAGCAGTCAGCTTTGTGCGGCGGGTGGCTAAAGCTATAATAGCAGTGCTCCATTGTGGCAGCGGGACGCGGGCCGTCGTTGAACTCAATGTGGGGGAAGCAGCTCACCTTCTTGTAGTGCTTCCCGATCCACAGCCGCACCGTCTCCAACTGCGATATCGTCTCTGAACTCTCCCAGAATTTGGTGGACGGGCCGCCGTCTTTCTTCCGTCCCACCGCGGTCCCGCTGCCGGTGGGGCCGGTGGTGGGGCCGCCGGAGCCCGTCCCGCCTGCCGTTGTCGCCGCCGTCGCCATTGTGTGTTTTGTTCGCTGCGTTGTCTCTTTCTCTCTTTCTCTCTTTCTCTCTTTCTCTCCTCTCGGCGTCGCTCACCGTGCAAGTTTTCGAATGATATTGCGCAGCCGCAGACGCGTTGACACTTTTCAAGTCTCGCGAGTCTCGAGATGAAAGGGCTTATGGGAAATGAAGTCATACAAGACTCCCTCGAGGAAATTGAATTTCCAGCAGCTTTACAAAACACTTATTCATATGATATATAATATATATATATATACTATATAATATACACACACTATATTATATATACACTTATTTCTTTAATTGAATTTTTGATTCTTTTACTGGTTTTTGTTCTCTCGTACATTAGTGATTAGTATTTATATTTATTCCCTCCTACTTTTTACTGTTTTTTCTCTCGAATAACATAGGTTATGATATCATATTATTTACTATCTCTTTACTGTTATTATAATACTGTTTTTTTATTCTTGGTACATCAGTTGTTGTATTATTATATTATATTACTTTCCCTTTCTACTTACTGTTTTTATTATTGGTTTTTTTTTTCTTAGCCTAACATAGTGTTGGATATATTATTTATATTATATTTTATTATCACACTACTGCTTACCTGGTTTTATATACTGGTTTTTTTTCTTGTACATAGTGTCTATATTAATATTATATTATTTCCCTAACTCTTACTGTTTTTTCTCTTTGATACTATAGTGTTTATATTATATTATTTCCTACTCTTACTGTTTTCTATACTGTTTTTTTTCTGTACATAGTGTCTATATCTATATTATATTATTTCCCTACTCTTACTGTTTAATTTTCTACTCTGTCATAGTGTTGTTCAATCATATTATATTATTTCCCTACTCTTTTACTGTTTTTATATTTACTCGTTTTTTCTTGTACATAGGGTGTTATAATATTTATATTATATTATATTATTTCCCCTACTTTCTTACTGTTTTACTATACTGTTTTTTTTCTGTGTTACAAGTAGTGTTCTATAATCTTATTATAATTATATTATTTCCCTACTCTTACTGTTTTTTCTTCGTTACATAGTGTTTAATATTTATATGTATTTTCCAAACCCCCTACTCATTACTGTATTTCGATTAACTGTTTTTTTCTTGTAACATTAGTGTTTTATATCTATATTATATTAATTTCCACTATCTTTACTGTTTTTTATACAGTTTTTTTTTTCTTGTACATTAGGTGTTTACTATTATATATATATTATTTTTCCCTACTCTTACTCGTTTCTTTCTCTTGTACATAAGTGTGTATCATCATGTTTATTATATTTCCCTACTTTTTACTGTTTTTCATATCTGTTTTTTCTCTATCCACTTTGTTTCGCCCCTGGTAAAACATTGGAATTTACCCATTGTGGGGACACAATAACAAGCGATATTCTATCTTTATCTTAATAATCAAGAGGTTATAAAAAAGTACAATATATACAAAACCAATAAACTCTTTAAGCTAAATATAGAAAGATAACGAATTAAACAGTAAACAATAAACTATTAGCTTAAATCATAAAGAAAGAAAGAAAGTAGAGATAAGAATTAAAGTAAAATAACAAAATAAAATAAAAAGTTAAAAATAAAATAAATGTATATAGAGAATGATATACGAGAGCTTGCTTCCTTTTTCGTGCTTTTACTGTTGTAGGCTAGTGGTTCCCAACCTTTTTTCTTAAGGGGACCCGGGATGACCCCGACTACCATGACTTATTTTTTATTTTATATTTTATATATATTAAACTGCATTAACGATACAGAAAATCTTATTCATTAATATTATTATTATTATATAATTTTTTATCTTTTCTATCTAAGTATTTTATTCTATTGTATTTTATTGTATTTTAATGTACCTGGCTGCTATGACGACCCAATTTCCCTTCAGGGATTAATAAAGTCTATCTATCTATCTATCTATCTATCTATAACACAATAACTGCAGGAAGTTTGTGTAAAACGGGCAATTTGGATGAATTTTGAGCAGATTATTTCCTGTGAATAAAACAGTTTTCCTGATATTTTAGGGACTTTTTATATAACAGATGTTATCAGAGAGTGAAGGCTCTGTGAAAATAGATTGTGTTCAGATCTTCAAAGTTTAGATTATAAATAATAATCTAAACTTTTAAAAATAATAATATCATATATTTTTTCTTCACATAAATGAACAAAATGTTTATCAAATGTTTATCTATAGGCCTACTGTGCATGTATATAGTTTTTCACACCCCTTTAAATCAAAAGTGCCTTAAGAAGCCTAAGAAGCTTTGGCGACCCCTAGTGGGGGTCCTGACCCCTAGGTTGGGAACCACTGCATTAGGCTATACTATATGTTCTTTACAAAACTTATATGAAGATGAAATACATTGTCTCTCCTCAAAAATTATGAAGACCTCTCCAGGACCCCTTCCCTTTTATTTATTTAGTTCTGAGTTATTTATCTATATAGTTTGTTTATTTTACTTTATTATTTCACTCTAATCTTATATACTTTGTTTGTTAACTGCCATTTCTCTGCCTTAATGTTTGTAAATTGATCTTTTTGCGATAAAAAATAATTTATTTTAAACATTCTAATCCTTTCCCCCCATTTTAGCACATACAAATTAATTAATAATTAATTAATAATAATAATAATAATTAGTGTGATTGTTGTGCTCACAAACACATTGAAGTCTCTTGATGCCCATTCAGTCCCCTTGTATTCATAAAACAGAACCTGTATAATAAACATGTATTATTTATTCATAGTTTATTTGATAGGCAGAGATAGAGTAAACATAGACAGACTGATGTAAGTATCACACTGTTTAAAGCGGATGATAATTTGCAACTCCCTACATTTTAAAAATGTATATACATGAGTACAGGTTTGTTGCTGCTGCTGTCACAATAATAATAATGTTTTACAGAATGGAACTCCTTATTCTTCTGTAGTCTCTTGATGTATTTGCAAGTCCATTTAAACATTTAAAAACAAGCTTTATCATAATGAAAATTAATAAAATTTGGCAAAGCTTAGGATGTCGTAAAATGTGGCAATGATGGCCTGATTGTAAAGACACTCTATAAATGTAAATACACTGGATAGACAGTAGTAGTAGTAGTTCAGCCATAGGACCTATATGAGAAAATTAATGAATTTAAAAACACCAATTTCTTATTGTCTTAAAACAGTTAAGGTTATTAATGTAAGTGTGTAATGGTATATGTGATGGAGATGTGCCTTTCTGAATAAAAAGAGAATTTAAAAAAAAAACAGTTAAGGTTAGCCTTCATAATTTTACACTCCTTTTTAGCATGAGAATTTAACTGACAATCTAAAATTATGTCTAAATACTTCACTTCTGTTACTTACCCAAGTAACAGGGATGAAGTATTTAAGGATTTAGGGATTCTATTGCAGACAGCTTTTTTAGACATTGTTTTCTTGGTGTTTAATGTCAGACAGGAGGCCTCACAACAAGTTCATATTAAGTTCTAGGTTAGCGTTTCTGCAACAGCATCACAGGTTTGCCACATACATGTACGACTGTGTAGTCAGCCAGTAGACATAAAGCTTAATCATATTTTAATCTTTATATGATTATATTCATCCAAAACTCATCAATGCAAACATAAATCAAACACATTTTCAATGCTTTTATGGTTTTATTATGGACCTGTTTTCTCTTTGTCCTCATGTGGGTTCACATTTTGTTTGTTTTTGCTTTCAGCATTAATATTACAGTCTAGAGAATGCAAAGTGCAAACATTATCTAATCAAACCTGGAAGTTTTGTCTTTTACGATCCACCTGGCAGCGTATGAGCAATACTGTTATTCTCTAATTTTACTGCTTTATCCTTGTGTTTATCTGACCAGGAAGTTAAACCGTATTTTTTTGGGGGGGGGAGTAGACTGTAAACAGAAAGTACACGTGTAAAACAATAAGGTAGGATGTATACCCGTTGACTGACTGGAGACGGTGTATTAAAATGTCCGGATCCACTGTATCGAATACTAAGGTCAAGAAGGATCAGGATGGAGAGGAGCAGGGCGTTTTTGGATGCACTGCTTCCCAGCATTGGATGCTCGTAGTCATACTGACCAACAATAGGCTTCACCCCTCTTTAACCGTTCAAACACTTTCCGTCCAGCACCTGACTGGATGACCACTTTCTGCTCCAGGATTTCAAACCGGACCAACATGATGGCAGTTCACCAAAATGTGTTTCTGAAAACATTTTAAGTGGAATATATGCAAGGCAGTTGCTGAATCCGTCCTCATTTTAGATAGACAACAATTAGTTAAAATGTTTTAGTAGCCAATATCCCTTGAATGCCCTGTCTCTTAAATATATTGCACGACTGCTCACATCTAGACAACTAATGAAAGGCAGGAAATGACTGATCCTGTGGAC